AAATGTTAAAAACTATTCAGTACTTTGTTTAAAAATATCTCAAAAAGAATCAGCTGTCAGTGAAAAAAGTTGACATTGACAAGAAATAATAAATTTAAATTTCTTTTTAAATCATTACATTAATTTTGAGTTGTGATTCAACAAAAATATTGATAATTTAAAGAAAAAACAAGTAAATATGCATGATGGGGATTCTAAAAGCAACACTTTGAGGGAATCACTGCCATCAGGGTATTTCTGAAATTTTCAGATTTCAGATTTCTTTTGATTGATTGTTGGTGAAATGTTCATGAGCAACATGCTCTAACGGGTCTAGGACTGTGTTGTTTGTTTTATAATTTTTAAAACCACAACTCAATAGTTCGATTTATTTAGTAAACCTTTATCTTTTTTCAGTTTCTAGTTATTGAACTGAATGTTGCCTTTTCTTTAACGGGAGTGTGTCTAAACTTTAAAGCACAACTGTATATATCATCTTGTTAAATACAATCCATGTTATGACTGCCAGTCCTTAGAGTTAGAGAGGAAGGAGAGGAGCAAGGTGTTTGCAAAATGTGAGTTCAGGAAAAAACAGGGAAGAAAACAAACAGAATAGTAGCAGACCAAACAGCAGTTGTTAAGATGAAAGAAAAATATTTAAATCAGTAGATTGGATGATCCAATTAAACCAGGTGTGCTTACCTCAGTAACCATGACGATGATGGCCAGACACACCTGGATTAATCAGTTGATCCAGTTATGAAAGACAGGAAACAAAGGAGCTGCCTTACCTTCAGGAAGTAGAGGCGTTGTGCATAGAGCCCTTTATAGGTGTTTCTAAAGACGCTGCTTTAACGTCCGCAATCAGTGGCCCCTTTCATAACAACTGGTTTCTAGACTTAAGTCTGAACTATAAACATGGTGAACTCTACTAAAGACACAATGTCTCACAAAGGGATTGGTGACCCTTGTGTTTTTTTCCTATGATGTCACATCGTAATCACAAACAATAATTCATTTAGGGAAAGCAGAGATTAGGGATCTGGAGCTAACGAATCATCTCTATGTCATGTGTTTGTTCTGCCCAGCCACTGAAACAGGTGAGTCCAATCTGCACAGGTTAATTCACTCTACAGATTGGACTCATCTGGTTCAATGCCCGAGCAGAATAAATACATGAGATTACTTTTTGGATCCAATTCCCCATCTCTGAGGGAAAGTATAGATTGTGGAGTGTTCTGATTTTTTTCTTGATCTTCATGTTGGTGTTTGAGAAAAAACGTACTACAGGAGCTTTTTTTCCTTATCCTGTTTTATTGACGGGATGCACAGTGGAACAGTGGGTAGCACTGCTGACTTACAGCAAGAAGGTTCCAGGTTTTATTCCTGGCCTGGGTCTTCCTGCATTGAGTTTGCATGTTCTCCCTGTGCATGCATGGGTTCTCTCCGAGTATTCTGGATTTCTCCCACAGTCCAAAAACATGACTTTTTGGTTAATTGTCTTTTTTAAATTCTTCTTAGGTGTGTGTGTGTGTGTGTGATTGGTTGTTTTTCTTTGTGTTGCCCTACGATAGAATAGCAATCTGTCCAGGGTGTAACCTGACTCTCGCCTGTAAATAGCTGGAGATAGGCACCAGCATCCCTGGTGACCCCAGCAGGGATAAGTGTGATGGAAAATGTTTTATCTCCTATTTCTTTTAGTATAAATTTTTCCATCGCTGTTTATTTGTGTGAATTTTGAATTACTGCTTTAGAACTTGATGGAAACAACAAGATATGATTCAACCAACTAAATTTAGCAAAGAAGATTTTTTCTAGCTTGGGGTGTTTTTTCAAAATAGAGTAAATGTCCTACAGAAATGGAATCCCATTTATCAAATAATTTCTGAAAAAAACCTACATTTACCTCACAAGACTGATCTGTTGTTTTTTCTGACGCATTCCTGAATACAAGTATTAGAGTTGCAGTTGTCTTTCGGGGTGGTATGTATCACTAATACGAGCTGAGATGAGAAAATTAACTTGCCCAATTGCAGCACGTTCATCACTGATATGTTGTCCTCACTGGTTTGCTACCTCTGCTGTTTGTTCCAGCCAAGTGTAGCATCAACATTTGACTACATTACGCTGAATTTACATTTTTCTTTGTTCAATATTTAAAAGTTCTGTCAAAATTTGCATGCATATTGGATGGAAACAGAGTTAGGGCTACCATCTAAAAACCAGCCATCACAGCAGGTCTCCTCACCCATTTGTTCATGTTTGCCCTTGCAGACTTTGATCCAAGCTCCCTCCCTGACCAAGTCCCCTCTCCCTTCCCTCTCATCTTCACCTTACTCCACCTGGATGGTAGGCTGTGAGTGGTACAGTGATAAATTTAGTTATCATTTTAATCAGGCCTTCTGATGAAATAATCGCAACAGTGACCTTCCAGCAGCCACACTTAAGCTTTTGTAAATTTGGCTGAATCTGACCAGTTTGGTGAAAAAAGTTGTTCTGTTCTGGCTATTTTCAAAGTTGCTGGTGGTGAACTGGCAGGTACTGTAGGTCGGATTCATGTTGTCTTGTCTGGATTTTTCCAACATGCATAAACCTCAGAGCTGTGCTGGAGTCAAACATTAATCGGGAATGTCACCAACCCAGAAAGTTTCTGCACCTCAAAATTTCACAAGTGAGAAGCAAACAGTTTTTAGAAAAGCCTTGATAAGCTGTAGAGTGTTGTTCTTGTGCTTTTTGCCTTTGACTCTAAGAGGCAGGTTTTGCTTTGTGATATGGAGTGTTGACATAGGACTATTCATGGTTGTCATCAGAAAGTTTTCATTTTAAAAAGCCACCTGTCTGTAAAAAAATGCTCAACAGAGAAAATTGAAATGGGAGACTGTGTCTGCTTCTCCACTCTGACAGCATGTCATTTTCACCAGCAGCCTGCCATTACCTGGAGTGTTTGGCAATCTTCTGGCTGCAGAGGTCCACCTTGTAAATGGGGAATGTGAAATTAGAATCCAGTTATCAGCTGCTGTTGTAAACAGTTTACCCTCACCTTCCTAAACCCACCCAACCATCCCTCTCTTCTATGTTTTCATAGCAGGATGATGCTCTACCTGCAGGGCTGCTTTATGCATGTTATCATACCTCTTTTGCTGAGCTTCTGTAGGTCAAGAAAAGCCTGGAAGGTGCAGCAGAAAATCTTTGATCGCTCTGTTGAAAAAATTAAATAAAACGACCTTGAGTGTCACCACCAGTGACTCACATATTGCCTCAGTTACTGTCACTCTTGTCCAGATTCTCTTCTAAGTCTGTACAGCGGTATAGAGATTGTAAGGTAATCCCTAAATACAGAAATAAAAAAACACAATTTTTTTTATAAACTATAAATAAATGGCCTGCTGTAAGATATTAGGTCAAATCAGGTGCTATAGTATGTGTTACATATCCAAAGCACATGTAGAGTAAACATGTGTTTTAAGTATATTGTGGTAAAATGCCAAATGGAATAACTAATAAAAAGACGAATCACACTTCCACTATCTGTCACTTCCACTCAGCAGCCCAGATATCTTTATACACCTAATTCCAGATCTGATATTATTTCTTCAATAAAAAATACAAACATTTGAATAGGATATTACCAATATAAGTCTCTGCGAAAGCTTTTGTATTAATGATGATTAAAATCTAAACGGGGTTTACTGGGCAGTGTCAGGGTTCTGCCCTCTGTTTAGGTTTATTTTTGTAATTCTCTGTCTTGGTAGTTGTTTTCTGGCCATTTTGTGTTTTTCAGTTACTCTCTGTTGCCCCTTTGTGCCTGTTTCCTTTCCCCTTGGCTCCCTTCTAGTTACGTCTATCTACACCTGCTCCTTATTAGCTCATTAGCCCATTTTTTTGTTCTCTTCCCCATATATACGCCACCTCTGCAGTTCTTCATTGCTTCTTTTTGTTTTGTTGTTACTTGACTCCCTACACGTGTGTCTCCTTGGCATCACATCTTCTGATTTTTTTGGTTTCTAGTATTTTTGGATTTTTGCCCCTGTTTGCCTCTGGATCTTTCATTTAATCAGCAAAATTCATCTCTGCCTCATCATCTCTGCATTTGGGTCCTCAAAAACCTCCAACAAACCCTGACAGGCAGGTTAAGTAGTCCAGTATCAGCATCTTTTGGATGTGTAACAGTTACATTTTCTTTATAGTGCACCGAAGAAACCATTAAATAATACAAATGTATGAATTGATCATTGTAGTGTAAGACCATATTTGAAAGTCATTCTTAATTCTAAGAATTCACATTTTAACAGTGAATAAAATTGTTTTTGAGAAATCCCGTCATTAAATTTTTCTATTTATTGAATTCTGGCCCTCTTAGGGACTAAATACGGCCCTCCAGATCTGAGTTCTATATGGTGTTAATTCTGGGAAAAAGAAAAACACACCAGACATTATTACTGCGGCTCCAATCGTTACAGAATGGATTACATAATGGACTGAAAGTGCATTTCTAAGTCTCTTTAATTGATTCAGGCTAATAATGCTTGTCTTGTCCAAATGAGGGATTATTCAGAGGCAGAGAACAGTAGTTATGGATGAAGGAAGTGTCTCAGATCACAAAAGTCTGATCCATAAAATCCTACTTGTGGGAAAAGGACACACACAGAGGCTGCAGGAAGCAATGGACAAATTCATCTTTTTTTGGACAGAAATCAACAACAAAACAAACATATTAGAAATATATTGCCCATCTTCTAAAATCTCAGGTATAAGGAATAGAGACATGTTGCCTCTATACCCTTGTGTTTATTGTCATTGCAACCCATTGATCAGGAATACACTGTTGTTTTCTGTTTGTTATATCTCTTGATCAATTTCAATATTGATCTATGCTGAAATCATATTGATGATGTTGATAATGGTATCGGTCAATTCTTATGGCTGCATTATCAATATCATATTGGACATGAAAAAGTTATGTGGAGCCATCTCTAGCTTTAAAGAACTCCCCTTTTTATATTTGTTTTTATTTTTTGCAGCTGTCCAGTCTCTAAACAGCCTGAATGACCAGATTGCTCAGTTCATGGTGACCCGACCTTGTAATCTCGCTGATGAGGAGGAGGCCTTCATCCCAGGAGAGAGGGATACTCTCAGGAAGTCCATGGCACTGATGAGACACCTGCTTATGGACGCTCAGGTACCAAACGTTTCCTAGCAAGACTAATTGTTATCTGGCCTGTAGTACCTGTCCTAAGGATGTAATTATGCACATGTCTTTCACCCTAGAATAATCATCTGATCTTTGAGCTCGCTGTAGGATCTACTGAAATCACAATCTCACATTTCTATCTTAAAATGTAACTCCAAAGTACAAATTTCAAAATGCTGAAATATGTGATAATACTAAAGAATTAGTAGTCCACAACTATGTACTCTAAGCAGAACTTGTTTTTCAATAATTGTTCTGTTTTTTGTTTTTTTTTGTTTTTTTGGGGGGGGGTGCACTTTGTACCCCATCCCCATGTTTTCCTTTTCAGCTAATTCTTAAACTGAACAAAAACAAAATCCGCTCAAACAGCATAACACTGCCAATGATGTTTATAGGCAGTTTAACCACATTTGAATTAGGTCCTATGAATATTGCTCTGAGGAAAATAGATTGATTTGTACACAATTACATTTTTGGCCATTTTAAAACAGCAGAGATGTTTTGATCAGTCAGAAAATGAAATATCTTCCAGAGATGTTAATTTTAACACTGTAAGCAGATAAAGAAAGAAATGAAGAATCCTAATAAAGAGGAAAACACTGTTTTCAATATATATACATGATGACAGAAGGACATGTCTATAGTCAGAAAAACCCCATAGTTCTGTTAATAGGTGCAATGAATTTCTCATTGTAGTTTGTATTTGCAGCACCTACATGTTGGATTTTTTTAGTCTCCTATTTTTTAATTTAATTCAAAACTTGTTTTATTCAAAACATTGTGATTCGTCTCTGATTCAGTTAAAAAGTACCTTCCCTTGATCTTGTGCAAAAAGGGGGCGTATTCTGTAAGGAAAATGTTTACTTAAATATACATATATAGATAATATACATAGACTTAGCGTGCAAATACAGCAATTGGAGACATGTGCAAAAACAGAACAAATTGAAACTTGGTGAATTTCTTTACGAGAAGGCAAAACATTTTCCCCAGACAGATAAAAAATATTATAGTGGCTCTAAAAAAATAATTGCTTTGTGGTTTTGACTACAAAGTTATTAACTAAGTTTTTATTTCTTTTCTTATTCTATGCTTCATGTTTTAGAAGTTAATGTTACTATTTCATGGTAATATTTTTTTTTTGTTTATTGAGTATAAACATTAAAACATTAATTTATCCTTATATGCTTCTTGCAAAGATTTTATTTTGAAAACTTCCTTGGACTCAATTACTGCAAAAGCTTTTTCTCCATTTCCCACAACAAAGCAAGTCTAGCTCTATGAGATATTTGCCAGTCTGAGTGAAGTGATGAAGAACTTGATGTTGAACTGTGTGATGTTATTTTCTAATCCTCCTCCGTGTTCTCTGTTTCCAGCTGCTTTGAAGCAGCTCTAATGGTCTCACAGACTAAACAGAAACAAGCTTAAAGACAAACCTTTCCAAAGTAATAACTTTTAATCTCGCTGCTCGCTCTGGACTGCATTTTGAAAAATTAACGAATCTTCACCTTTTCTTTTTGTACCTTTAAAGCACATGTGCAGGTAATAATACTTTACAGAGCAAACGCAAGACACACAAAAACTAAAAGAGTATACAAAATAATTGCAAAAAGCACTAGGGGCCCATTAGTGCTGGGTTGCATAACATAATGTTACCCAAAGCAATGAAAGAAAAATAGTAAAGGATTTTAGGTACAGTACACTTACTTAAGTGAAAAGACAACGAGAACAAGAAAGATAATGTTCCTTCCTCCACCTCTAGTTTTAAAGACCATAAATTAACTCATGTCTGGTTCTTATGTGGTTTTTCTACTGAAGAGTAGAGAGTCGTGGAAAAGCATTAAACCAGTGTTGCTGTTACACTGTAAACCCAATCAATTAGAGCTTTTTTCATTTTGAAATGACACACTCAACTTTTTGGATATATACTTACCTGTGCCATGATAAACAATACTTTATTTGAACCCTTGATGCCTATTGTTGCTAATAAGCAGCAAACCCTTTATATTGCGTACATATACATATATATATATATATATATATATATATATATCCCAAATTCTACTCTTTTTCTTTTATTCAATATATGTCACAATATTTGTTTATGTTGTGTTAAATACTGCTGACGTTGGAAATTGCTTTTAAATCAGAGCACATTACCAGCAAACATGTTTTTTGAAGCAACCATACAGTAGTGTTTAAGAAGGAACTAACAAATTAGGATCTATGGAGAGACTAAAAATTTGATTAATTAATTTCTACATATTTAACAGAATCTTAGCTTTTTTTGCAAAGAGGAATTCAGACATTTTTCAGTCTCTTCAAATTTCAAACATGCACAGCTGGTTGAAACCCTCACCAAATTAGGTTGTACTAAGTATTTATTCTGGGGTAATACATACAACAGTTTAAATTCATTTTCAAAATATAAACATTAAGCGTTAATAAAAGTTTAACTTGCTCTTAGAAATTAAGTCTGTGACTGTAAGATGAAAGAAATATGCAAAAAAATTTTAGAGGTTCAGAGACTTTATAAGCCACAGAGAAACCGTTGCCCAGGGTGATATGATTGCTCATGAACAGCTGAATGTTCCTGAAAAGTAAATAAAAACATGTCTCTCAAGAAATAAAGAAATAAAGCTATTTTAGGAGGCTATATGCACCTGTGTACAGTGCCTTAAAGAATATTTTCTTCTACACCTTTTTATTTTACTTATAAAGTTATCTATTTATTCAGTAGGGCATATAAAACATTCCTTCATTCATACATCCGAAATATTGATTGAAGTGTCCCTCCTTCCTGCTTTGCTATGGATGAGATTGTAATCGATCAGCGGGGAGCGACTCTCATTTGTCATTTTATTTTAACTTCCTTCTACTTCTTGAAGAATGCTAAATAAATCCTGACACACTGATTCAATTGTGCCTTCTATGAGCACCGTCGGCAACTTGGATGATGGATGCGGAGTCCTGGTGACGTTCTCCTGGAGATATTTTCTCAGATGCAGTGTCATTGATTAAAGGGAAGGTAATTCAGCAAAAGGCCATTGCTTTCACCTCGGCTCGGTCGTATGGGAGCTCAAGTGAAAGATTATTAGCCTGCAGTCTGTTCCTCCTGTTAGTCAAGGAGTATCAGTAGCATTGGGTGGTGATGGATAAGCAGGAAAGCCAGCTATGGACAGAGCGCATAAGTTGTACTATTTGGGATAAAAGTCAAAGTGAAGGCACCTGTCAGATTGACAGCTTTCCCTGCCTGTTAGGTTTGTTGGTGTCAGATTGCACACCTACTGCCTTTTTTTTTGGTTTTGTAGTTTTTACATCGATGAGGCGACAGGGATGGCTCTGTTAGCCTGAGGCTTATCGCTCTCAACTGACAGAGGGTGAAAAAATATCATCATAAGATTCTGACCTGTGTCTGCTATACGCCTACTAACATTACCAAATGACAGAACTGTTACAATGTTCATAAATACATATTATGGAATGAATAACAATCTGGTCCAATCCGTGTACATAATCACACATTAGGACAGTATAAAAATCTTGAATCAAAACCTTTTCTGTGATTCTTGTCAAATATGTTAGGTTAGATATGTGCTTAAAGTTACTTATTATAAAGGCTTATTATTAAAAGCCAAACACAACCCAAATGAAAAGGAGTATTAGTTTTTTAAGTATTTTAATTACATTTTTAATTTAATGGTTAAAAATGATCAAAACGCTCTAACATTAAGCTGGTTTGTGCTGCAGCTTCATTCCAGCAGATCTGTTTTCCCTTTCTCAATAAAGCTCTGTGAAATGGAAATTAAAATAATACATGCTTTCATCTATTTTTAATCATTAATTCATGTCTGCATTCCTACCCAAAAGGCTTATAAGATGCCTTTAAGTTTTTTTGATTCTTCTTTTTTTAGATGAATTACGGTACTCACAGGAAAGGCCTACTTATCACGCAAAACTGTATCATGATCACTTGGAGCAAATGATGGAGCAACTAAACCCTCACTTGGACAATAGGTTTTTAAATCTAAAGAAAAAGTCTGAATTTAAGTTTAAGAACAAGTTTAGAATGATTCCAGGCAGGACAGGCATTGCTAGTATTCTACACTTTCCACAAATGAAAGGAATCCTTTCAGAAATGCAAACCTTTCATATGTGGTTAGAGTCTTGGAATTTTGGTCATTGTCTGGTCTAATTTGTGACGCCCTGACATGCAGTTATGACACAGGTGAAATATTTAAAGGTAAACTGTGAGATTTTGCTTGATCTGTAGTAATGTGAAGAATTCAGCAGGAATTATGAAAATATATTTTGAATTTTAGGAATCATTCGACCATATGACGAATACACCTAAGAATTCGGCACAATTACATTTCAACTCTGTTTTTTTTTTTTACATTTTGTGGGCGTTTCCAATAAGAACTGAGGTACGTAAAAGAAGACAGCTTTTAAAAGGGGAATCTCTTGGTTGTCCGTGTGCTGGCCTGGCTGGCACCACCCTAGACTCTAATGCAGGGGTCTTCCACCTTTTCCAGGCCGAGGTCCCCCAAACTGATGGCGAGATGGAGCGGGGACCCCCTAATTATGTATATTGTATGAAACACCTCTATTACATATGGAGTCATGTAATGAAAGTAATTTCTCCCTGGGAGAGGGAGAAAGGTGTTCCAAAACCTGGTGGACCTGTAGCGAATGGGGAGGAGCCCTTTCCCAGAGGACGGTGGGGTGTGAGGGGTCACTGATGATGTTACAGGCTCGGGACGAGATGAGATGTCCTACATGGAGGGAACAATGACTTCAATTTCCTTCTTCTCTTGAGGGGTCATATTCGAGTACATTCAAGTACATTCTCATTCCATGTTGAGGACGAGCTCTTGTCATAGAGAGGGGATGGTGTTCATGAAGAGTCATGTATCTGCTGTCAGATGGAGTCTGACAGAGCTTCATTTCCCTTAACATGTGTTCACAGTATCCCACATTTTGTGCTG